TCAAAATGCCCCCATAAAGAGCAAGGGAGGAAACTGCACCAGTTACTGGAAAATAATCCTTTTAGAAAAAACATTCTCTCTTTTATGTGTTCCTCGCCACAAATAAATTCTGGCAGTTTTCAGTTTCAGAGGAAAATTTGAGTTTGGGATATTTCATTTGGTGATGGCCAAGAAATACTAGGAAAAAATGAGATGCTGGAAACAATCTAATAAGGAAATAGTGTAGAGCGGATTGGAAACGCTCAGGATGAGCAACACATGTAGATCGACTAATTGTTTCTTAAAAAGTGTAGAGGACAAAAAAGATAGAAATGCATTTAGTGTGGTCAGATTTATCTTTATCAACCAATCAAGAACCTGATAAAACCCGCTTGCTTACCAAAGATGGTATTCAAATTTCTGCTGGGCAGAAATGTCTTCAGAAAGAACGTGGAACAAAAAGATAGGGCAGGAAATTATTTCAGAAAGTCGGTCCATGAGAAATATAATTTATCACCCAGCACCACAATTTACCGCATGGATTGCTCAAACATAACCACTAATCTATATCTGAAGCGAGTACTAATATTTCAAGCCACTAAGCACCTTTCAAAGACTCTTTATGTACCTGTATATTTAGTTCAACGCTAAGAAATAGTTTTATAGATATAGCCAACGCTCTTGATACAGATGTTATTACGCCTTAATTTTTAGCTGCAGTGCCAGACAAACAAAACAGTCTCAAAATTCCGAGCGAGAAGTGTTAGCTACGGCCCGAAGGGGCCGAGCCCCCGCACAGGGACTGGCCGAGCGTGGGGGGCGTGGATTGAGGGACCCCCCCTTCGCCCCTCTGATGTGTGTGTGTGTGTGTGTGTGTGTGTCCCCCCATCCCGGGGGCTCTCCCCCGTCCCCGCTGTCCCCGCTCCCGCCGCTGTCCGAGGTGCTGACGGAGCCGCCCCCCCCACCCGCCGCTGTCCGTGGTCCTGACGGAGCCGCCCCCCCCCCCCCCCCCCCGCCGCTGTCCGTGGTGCTGACACGGGGAAGCCGCAGGGCGTTGAGAGAGACCCCCGGGGGGAGACAGAGACACAGACACACACACACCCCCCACCCCCCCCTCTCCCCCAAGAGAGACCCCCGGCAGCTTCCGCTGCCCCTCGGATGGAAAGGAGCAGGGGGTAACACCGTCGCCCTCCCTTCACCCCACCCCCCCCCCCCCCAAACGCGCTGCCACCCAAGGGATGCAAATCCGGCGAGGTCAGGGCGCCTGCTTCGCGCAGATGAATCATCGACGGTGTTTGGGGACAAAAATGTTTAATCATCACTAAGGTGATTCAGCAATGGGGAAATGTAAACAAGCCGCGCGAGCGTTTTGCTGAGCGGCCCGGAAAAACGGCAAAGGCACTCGAGTCGCTACCGGCTGCTCGAGGCGGGCAACGGTTGGGGGGGGGCTGGGTGAGCAAACCCCGGCAGGAGCTCGCCACCCTGGGAGTCCCCAACAGCCACACGCTCAGAAACACCCGTGGGTCCTCACCCGGCACGTCAGGGCCCGGTGGCTTGTGGGAGCCTGCGGCACAGAGCTCTTTTCACCGCGCTCTGCCTGGGTTTACCCGGCAGGGACCTGGTACAACGCCCCGAGGGGCAGGACTTTGCAGGCAAGCCCGGCATCGGGACACAGCTCCCTGTCCCATTAACCTGAACCGCAGCTGAACCCTGCCCTCGGAACACTCTGGGCAGGTAAACACATTGATTCATCTTGAGATAGTCCATATTTTTCAGCCTCGGCAGAAAGTTAGGGACTGCCCGATGGGGCCGCACCCAATCGAGGCCTCACCGAGATGTTCCCAGGGGCGGGTGGGCTCCTGTCCCAGAGACCCCACTGTCAAGGCAGACCAAGAACCCAGGGGCCCAGCAGAGTTTCTTGTGTTTCATTTTGCAAGGGAAGCGTGTGTCTAAAGGGCAGGGCAGGTCCCCAGAAGCCTGCCCCAGGGGGACCCCCGTGTCCCCGGGAGGGCTCTTGCCGCCTCCCCCGGCTGCAAGCACAGCGAGGCGCTCGCACGGTCACGCCAACGCGATGTTTTGCCCTCGGGTCTCCAAATCACACACTGAACTTGCCCGTTCACATGGTGAGCTGCTCCCGGCCCTGCTCAGACTGCCCGCACCGCTCCAAGCCGCGCAACACTGGCCGTGCCCCCCCCCCCCCGAAACACCCGGGGAACCCTCCACCAAGAGAGATAACAAGCACAGAAAGGAGAAGAAAACTAGAATAGAATAGAATAGAATAGAATAGAATAGAATAGAATAGAATAGAATAGAATAGAATAGAATAGAATAGAATAGAATAAGAAAACAGAATAGAATAAGAAAACAGAATAGAATAAGAAAACAGAATAGAATAAGAAAACAGAATAGAATAAGAAAACAGAGTAGAGTAAGAGAACAGAATAGAGTAAGAAAACAGAATAGAGTAAGAAAGCACAATATAATATTATTATCTTCTATAAGAAAAAGAAATAATAAGCACACCCCACTGCTACAGCTCCCATGGGGGGAGAGGGGGGATTTCCCTCAAAGGACAGGAGATTTTCATCCCATTTGGGAAAAACTTACAGGACCACAGGACAAACTGGCCAGTTTTCAGAAATCTAAAGTGCTTTTGGCTTATTCCCCTTGCTCAGAGGCATTTAAAGCAGGCAAGTAAAGGAAGAAGGAAGCACTGAGGCAATGAGGCTGCATATTCACACGTGGTAATAATAATAAAAAAAATAATCGATTTCCCGAAGGGAACGGTGATTTGCAAAGGTCTTTTCCACTCTGGCTCCCAGTCCACGGGGAACCCATGCCCCCTCGGTGACTGAGCTCACTCCAAACTTTACTCCTGGATGCAAAGACATTCAGGGGGAACTGGGGAAGTGGAGACCCAGAATTATAGATGCGTAACTCTGTGTGTACGGCAGAAAATCAGAAATCGCATCTACGTGCCCACCGAGTGCGCAGACGGCGATTTCTGATTTTCTGCCGTACATGCTGGGCTTCGTGGGGAACCCCCCACCCGGGACCGGTGCTGGGAAGGAAAAGCACCAGCAGCATTACTGGAAATGAGCCGGCTCAGGTTCCAGATCAATGAAAACTGGGTCCACGTGTTTATGCTCCTGTTGCCAGCATTAATGCTCTTTTAATCTTCTAAACATTATCTGCATCGATTTCCCTCTAGATACGCGTTTGTTTGAGAAGGCGACATCACCGCGTGCTCCGACAAAAAATAAAAAAAAAAAAAAACAAACCCAGACCCTTTCTGCTCGTGTTGCAGACAAAACCTCGGGAGCTTCATTTGGCTGAAAAAAAAAACAGAACTGGGGAGCCGGGGGGTGTTGGCGAGGCCGGGGGGAGTTTGCAGTCTCCACTGGAGCCGCGGGGTTGCTCGGCACCCCTGCCCCCTGCCCCCCGCGTCCCGGCTCTGGAAGGGGCTGCAGGGCTGGGCAAGCCCCGCAGCAGCCCTGCAAAGTCTCCTTCACCTTGAGAAAGCCAGCACACCCTCCGAGAGGATTTTGGAGATGCCAGGCCGGGGGCTGTTTAACCCACAGCACCTCCGGTGAGGGGTCAGCCGGGGAGTAGGGCCATGGATAATTAATTCCTGGTCCCCCCCCCCCCGCCTGCTCTGCCGCATCCCATCCCTGCGTGCAGGGACCCTCGAGGGGAGAGCATCCCACCGCCTCCGAAGAGGAGAGGGAGGAAGAGCGGCCCGGAGCCCTGCACCCACTTGTTGGGGCAGAAGGCGAGATCCCGGTGCTGTCAGGGTGGGGGCAGGCACCCCCGAAGGGCCGAGCTGCTGCAGGGCACAGGGGCCCGGGGCTTGTCCCCCCTCTCTCTCCAAACCACATTGTTCCGCCAGAGACAAAGGAGGGGCGAGCGCCCACCGGAGCCTCCCGAACCCCCGTCCCCACCCGTGGACGTAGCCCCCAGTTCCTTTGTGGGTGTAGGGGGTGTGGAGCTCCCGTGGCAGGACCCGCGAGCAGCCGTGGGGAGGGCGCAGCTCAAGGAGAGAGACCCCCACACCCCCTCCCCTCCCTCCTCCTCTCCCCTCGGCCACCCCTGCGCGTCCGCCACGGGGAAAGCCCGCTCCCCGCTAATCAATAACACGCGCGGATCAATCTGTCCGGGTTGGGATCAATCGAGAAAAGAGCGACGGACTTGTCGGAACAAACACATCCCCCCCCCCCCCCCTCCCCGTTCCTAAACTGCGGTCGCAGCAGGGAGCCGAGCCGGGGGACACCGGCGCGCCCGCGCTCCGCCCACGCGTGTCCGCCCTCCGTCCCCGCCGCCACCCGCTGAAGCGATTCCCACGGCGGGGGAAGGCGGGGGCGCGGCGGCGGGTGGCCCTGCCTCGCGCTCCCGTGGGGCTGCCCACGGGCGCGGCCCCCACCCCGCGGGAAGAGATGTGGCCGGGTGTGCACCACCCCCCCCCCGGGCCCCCGCGGCGCGGAGAGGGACGGGGATGGGAACTGGGATGGGGACAGGGATGGGGACAGGACGGGCGGGCGCTGCCCCCCCCCCCCCCCGGCCCCCGCAGAACAATGGGGGCTGCGGCGCCCCACGAGCGCGCGAGGGGGCGCCCGCGCGCCCTCCGCGGGACAATGCGGCCGGGCCGCGGGGCTGCGCGGGGCTGCGCGGAGCTCCCAGACCCCCCCCCCCCACCTCCCCCCTCCCCCCCCCCCACCGCTCCGCCTGCCCCGCGGTCCCGTGGGGGGGGAATGTGTGTGTGTATCCCCCCCCCCCCCCCCAGCGCTTCCCCGTTCCCGGGTCTGCAAGCGGCCGGTGCGCCCGGCAGCGGCGGGAGGGATGCTGGCGGCGGGCGCGGAGGAAGCTCCGCTGTCAGCATCCCCCCCCCCCACACACCCCCCCAGCCCCAATCCCGACCCCCGCGGAACCCCGCGCCCCCCCCCCCCCGCCGCCCAGCTGAGCCGGCACCCGGTACCGGCGGGAAGCACCTCCGTGGGGGTCGCGCTGGGTGCCCCCGCACCTACCTGCCAGCCGCAGGGCCGACATCCTCTGGAACTCCGGCTCCTGCAGCCACTTCCACATCCTCCGGAAGGTCTCCCGGCCGGATTTGAGTTTACTCCAGGGTTTAGGGTTCCGCAGCAAGTCCGAGAGGGTCCCCTGCGAGCGGCACAGCACCCGCTGCGCGAAGATGGCCTGCGGGATGCTGTAGCGCTTCAGCTCCGCCGTGATCCTTTGTGCCACTTCTTTGGTGTTGATCTCCTCCAGCTGCCCCGAGCCGCTCACCTGCGCGCCGGCGGCGGAGGAGGAGGAGGAGGAGGAGGAGGGCGGGCGGTCGCGGGCGGCGGGCAGCGCGGGCCCGGGGGGCGGCGGGGGGCCGGGAGGGGGGGGGGGGGTGCATGCCGTTCAGGTGGGGCAGCATGGCGGGGGGGGTCCCCAGCCCCCGCGGGAGGTGCTGCTCCCCCCGCGCCAGCACGGCGTCGAAGTTGGGGCCGAGCATCTTCTCGGGGCCCGGCGGCCCGTAGCCGTGGAGGCTCTGCTGGGCGTTGTGGAGGGGGCCCAGCCCGTTGCCCAGCGGCGAGAGGCTCTGCCCCATGGCGGGCATCTCCTTGTAGGGCCCGTAGAGGTTGTTGACGGCGGGCAGCCCGCGCTCGTCCCGCATGAGGGCGAAGCCGCCTCCGACGTTGCCCGAGAGGCGCTGGTGGTGGTGGTGGTGGTGGTGGTGGTGGTGGTGGTGGTGGGCGTGCGGGTGGTGGAACTTGTCGGAGACGGTGGAGATGGGCGGCAGGGGCTGGAGCGGCGTCAGGGTGGTGTAGGTGCCGCTCATGCCCACGCCGGGCGGCGAGGACTCGCAGGGCACGCTCATGGCGTGGTGCAGCGGGATGGAGAGCTCGGGCCGGTACTCGGCGGCGCCGTCCAGCAGCGAGGCCATCCCGGACACCACGGCCGGCCGGGCGCCGGGGGGCGCGGGCAGCTCGGGGGGCGGCGGCGGCGGGGGGGGGGGGGCCCCGGAGCGGCCCGGCGCTGCGGCCGCCGTGGGGGTGCGGGCTGGGGCTGCCCATCAGCTCCGGCTCATGGCCGGCCGCGCCGTGCAGGCTGCCCAGCGGCTCCAGCGCCATCTCGGGGTTCATGGCGCTGGGGGGGGGGGGGTTTTGGGGGGGGGGGGGGGGGGGGGGGGGGCCAGCAGGGCCGCCCCGCTTCTGCCGGCCCCCGGGCAGCGGCTCAGCCGGGCCCCCGGCGGCCCCGCGCCATGTCCGGCCGCGCCGCCGCCGCCGCCCGCTCTGCCAGCGGCCGGAGCCGGCCGGGGAGCGCCGGGACCTGCGCCCCCGCCGGGCGGGGCGGGGCGGGGCGGGACGGCCAATGGCGGGGCGGGGCGCGCCGCGCCGCCCAATGGCAGCGCGGAGCCGGGAGTGGGCGGGGAGACCCGCCGCGCTCTTAAAGGAGACGCGGCCCTTTGTGGACCCACCTCCCCCCCCCCCGCCCCACGCCGCCGCTCCCCCTCACCCACACCCCCACACATGGCGTGTCCCCGCGGGTGCCGCCGGCGGAGGGAAACCGGGTCTCGCTCGGCGGATGCCCGCGGTCTCCCCGGTCGCTCGGCGCCGCGGGGAGCTGCCCTCGCCCCCGGCGTTGAACGCGGCAGAACCCCCCCCCCCCCCCCCCAGCTGAGGCAAAATGGAGCGAGCGAGCGCACCGCGCCGGTCACAAAAGAGGTCCGTGTCCCCGTGTCACGCGAGGGCGTGATTCTGGGCACGCCCCCCCGCCACCCGCTGGGCCGTGCTGGGCCGTGCTGTGCTGAGATGTGTTGGGCCGTGTCATCGCAGGCCGGGCCATCACGGACAATGTCGTGGGAAGGCGTGTTGGGGCGTGCCGTGCCATCACACGCTGGGCCGTGATGGACCGTGCCGTGCTGAGACGTGTTGGGCCGTGTCATCGTAGCCTGGGCCATCGTGGACAATATCATGTTGAGATGTGTTGGGCCATGATGGACCGTGCCTTCACACGCTTGGGCCGTGATGCACCGTGCCATGCTGAGACGTGTTGGGCCATGTCATTGCAGGCTGGGCCGTGATGGACAACGCTGTGTCAGGACATGTTGGGGGCATGCCGTGCCACGCCGTGCCGTGCCACGCCGTGCCGTACCACGCCGTGCCAGGCCACACAGCTGCTCCCAGTCGTGCGATTCCTTCCCCCCCCCCCCCCGCCCTCCCTCCCCCTTCCCCTTTAATCAGTAACGTCGGGACCTGCGGTTGATGTCATCCTTATCTCGGGCCCTGATAACCATCGCTGCGTTTGGAAAAGTCCCACCCCCACTGTGCCTTTCTGGTAACGAGGCGGGGGCAAAATGGGGAGAAACGTCACCTTTTTGATAGCGAGAGTTCAGCCTGGGTTGGGCATCGGGGAGAAAAATTCTGCAAAGGGCCAAGGGGGAGAGGTGTGGGCAGGGGGGTGGGCAGGGTGCTGAGCCCACCCGCCCGGGCCCGGGTGCAGGCAGGGATGGGTGCTGGGCGTCCCTCTGCTTTGGGACACGCATAAATGCTGCGGGGGCTCCTCAAGAAACGCAGCTGGTGAGTGAAAACAGCTGAGTCCAGCCCCAAAATGGCTGTGTTTTATATTCTGCCGAGGGAAGGCAGCGCTTGATGGCAGCCCGCTCCCCGGGGCGCACACGAGAGCACATGAGAGCACCCGCGTTCCCTACAGGTTTCCGCGACGGATCCCAAAGGCCAACCATCCCTTTCTCTCCCCACCCCTGTGGCCACAGGTCTCTGGAGCTCACGGTATTTTCCCCCCACCCCGGCTACCCCAGCCGCTGTCAGCCTGTGGTGGGAAAGAAGAAAGGAAGGGCGAAGCAAAAGAAAGCCCTGGCGTGAGGTGCCTTTGTCCAGGGCAAGTTGGGCGTGAAATCTTTTTGTCCGTCCTAAAGGAAGGCAAAAGTTGCAGCTGATTTGGGGAACAGAGAGGCGAGCGCAGCCCAGGGGGGCCGAGGTGGAGGCAGGGAGGGGAGCGGGTGGGCAGAGCCCGACGGGGCTGGCGTCCTTTTCCTCCTCTTCCTCTTTTTCCTTTTCCTCCTTTCCCTGGGAGCTGAGGTTGGAGGGTGCCAAGCCCCGCTCAAACCGTGTCACAGAAGTGTGAGCGGGTGGCAGGACACGCTTTTTTAGATACTCAACTCCGTCCCCTCCTGCCATTCCCGGGAACTACCAGTATTCTCTTGCAGAGTGGGAACTGCTACCTAAAAATGAAGGTTAATCACACTTAGAATTTTAGCTCCATAGGTTTGCAAAGATCTTCTAAGACGTGTCATAACTTAAACCTAACTACAACTTTTCGTTGAACAAAGAACCCAAACCGCGCTGTTTTACTGGACTGTGCATTGATCCCCTCCTCTTCCAAAAAGCCAGCTCCGCAGGCACCGAGCCCCCCCTTTTCCTTAGCTTGGCTCTCGGGGGCCTGTGCGGGTGAGATGCAGCCCCCCGCCCCGGCAGAGCGAGAGGAGCGTGGTGGCGGGGGGCTGCGGGATGGCGGGGGGGGGCTTTGCCAGCACCTCCGCAGGGCTGGGCGGCACCCGTCATTTCCAGCAATTTTGCTTTCTTTAAATTAACAGAGGAAAGATGAGAAATTGATTGATTTTTTTTTTTTTTTTTCCCCCCCTGACAAAGTGATATTTCCCAAATCCAGGCGCTACGGCCTGACTTTGACCTTTGCTTTTTTAAACCTGCGCCCGACCGTTGCGCTCCGGGAGGATGCGACATTACCCACGGCAGCGCCTAATTCCGGCGCCTCGCCAAATCGATGGGCAGATCTTCCCAGTAACCAACCCATGTCGGTATAAATAAATACCCACCGGTATAAATACCCGTCAGTATAAATACCCACCGGTATAAATACCCGTCAGTATAAATACCCACCGGTATAAATACCCCAGCCCTGGGCTCCTGCCCCGTGGGCACCGGCTGCTCTGGCCGCGGGGCTCCCCCAGCCTCCCACTCCCATTTAAACCTTTCTCCTTGTGCGATGGAGGGTGCTGGAGTGTCCTTCTTGGTTTGGTTTTTTTTTTTTTTTTTTTTCTTTTTGGCCATGGTTTCCCCTGGGTTTTTGAATTTTAATCCCTCTCCTCTTTGGTTCAGCGGGGGTTCAACTTGGCGCTCCCACCCCCGCCCCCACCTTGGGGTGCTGCTTTTAAACAAATATTGCGAGGGTTTTCTTTTGGCGTTTTGCAATTGCTGTCGCAAGCCCGTTGTTCTCTGCGAGGGGCCAGCTCCAGCCCCCCGTGGCATCTTCCCAGTGACAGTGGTGCAGCTGGCCGGGGGGGCCCAAAACCCCGGTTAGCCCCAGGGGTACCTGCAGCCCAGGGACTACATTTTGCTCATGAGAAGCAGAACCAACCTTCCTCAGGATTTTTCTCCTCCCAGACAGGATCTCAGTTATTTAGAAGTAAAAAAAAAAAAAACAGTTAGGCAGTATGGGATTTTTTTTTTTGTCTTTCTCCCAGAGTTTTTTGGGGAGCGGTTTAGAGGGTAAAACAGGCCTCGGAAAGATGTATCCAGCTTTAGCGGTGCAAAAATAGCAGAAAAATGGCTTGGGGCTACCTGGGGGAAGTGAGATCCCAGCTGCACTGCTTGCCTCCACCACCGGCACCCTCCGGCCCCGGGGGGCAGAGGCTCTGGGGAGCCTTCCTCCCATTCCGCAGTGGGAAGATGAAGGAAAGGACCTTCCCCCTCCCATCGCTACACTAGAAATTGGATTACGGGGCAATAAATCCCAGCCTGAGCGGGACTTGCGGGGCTGCTCTGTTAGAGCTTCCCCGAGCAGCCGCCGGCCCCGGGCGTCCTCGCCGGGCAGAAGCAGAGGCTCTTTGGGGGCTGGGGTGCAAGGCGGGGGGGGCCCGGGGTGGTGCCTGGGTGGTCGCTCGCTCAGGGGTGCCTATGCCCCGGCTCGGTGCACCCCGGAGCGAGAGGGGCAGCGGGGTCGTGGTGGCGCGGCTGATGGCACACTTGGCTGGCGAGCAGCGTGGTTAAAGATTAAAACTGGATCCAGTTTGCAATATTTATCTTGGGAGCGGGAGGGCCCCGGGCTTGTTTGGTTTGTGGGAAGTGTTGGGAAACGGTGACGCTGGTGTGGAGGGAGCTGGCGGGGCTGGCCCCACGGCGGGGGTGGGGGAACCCCGAGGGAGGGGCCAGCATTAGTGGGTGCACCCCACAGTCAGGAGGTGAGTGCACCCCGCAGTCGGGAGGTGGGTGCACCCCACAGTGAGGAGGTGGGTGCACCCCGCAGTCGGGAGGTGGGTGCACCCCACAGTGAGGAGGTGGGTGCACCCCACAGTCGGGAGGTGGGTGCACCCCACAGTCGGGAGGTGGGTGCACCCCACAGTGAGGAGGTGGGTGCACCCCACAGTCGGGAGGTGGGTGCACCCCGCAGTGAGGAGGTGGGTGCACCCCACAGTGAGGAGGTGGGTGCACCCCGCAGTGAGGAGGTGGGTGCACCCCACAGTGAGGAGGTGGGTGCACCCTGCAGTCGGGAGGTGGGTGCACCCCACAGTGAGGAGGTGGGTGCACCCCACAGTCGGGAGGTGGGTGCACCCCACAGTCGGGAGGTGGGTGCACCCCACAGTGAGGAGGTGGGTGCACCCCACAGTCGGGAGGTGGGTGCACCCCACAGTCGGGAGGTGGGTGCACCCCGCAGTGAGGAGGTGGGTGCACCCCGCAGTCGGGAGGTGGGTGCACCCCACAGTCGGGAGGTGGGTGCACCCCGCAGTGAGGAGGTGGGTGCACCCCACAGTCGGGAGGTGGGTGCACCCCACAGTCGGGAGGTGGGTGCACCCCACAGTGAGGAGGTGGGTGCACCCCGCAGTGAGGAGGTGGGTGCACCCCACAGTCGGGAAGTGGGTGCACCCCACAGTGAGGAGGTGGGTGCACCCCGCAGTCGGGAGGTGGGTGCACCCCACAGTGAGGAGGTGGGTGCACCCCACAGTCGGGAGGTGGGTGCACCCCGCAGTGAGGAGGTGGGTGCACCCCACAGTGAGGAGGTGGGTGCACCCCGCAGTCGGGAGGTGGGTGCACCCCACAGTGAGGAGGTGGGTGCACCCCGCAGTCGGGAGGTGGGTGCACCCCACAGTGAGGAGGTGGGTGCACCCCACAGTCGGGAGGTGGGTGCACCCCACAGTGAGGAGGTAGGTGCACCCCACAGTTGGGAGGTGGGTGCACCCCGCAGTCGGGAGGTGGGTGCACCCCGCAGTGAGGAGGTGGGTGCACCCCACAGTGAGGAGGTGGGTGCACCCCACAGTCGGGAGGTGGGTGCACCCCACAGTGAGGAGGTGGGTGCACCCCACAGTGAGGAGGTGGGTGCACCCCGCAGTCGGGAGGTGGGTGCACCCCACAGTGAGGAGGTGGGTGCACCCCACAGTCGGGAGGTGGGTGCACCCCACAGTGAGGAGGTGGGTGCACCCCACAGTGAGGAGGTGGGTGCACCCCGCAGTGAGGAGGTGGGTGCACCCCACAGTCGGGAGGTGGGTGCACCCCACAGTGAGGAGGTGGGTGCACCCCACAGTCGGGAGGTGGGTGCACCCCACAGTGAGGAGGTGGGTGCACCCCACAGTGAGGAGGTGGGTGCACCCCACAGTCGGGAGGTGGGTGCACCCCACAGTGAGGAGGTGGGTGCACCCCGCAGTCGGGAGGTGGGTGCACCCCACAGTGAGGAGGTGGGTGCACCCCACAGTGAGGAGGTGGGTGCACCCCGCAGTGAGGAGGTGGGTGCACCCCACAGTGAGGAGGTGGGTGCACCCCGCAGTCGGGAGGTGGGTGCACCCCACAGTCGGGAGGTGGGTGCACCCCACAGTGAGGAGGTGGGTGCACCCCACAGTCGGGAGGTGGGTGCACCCCACAGTGAGGAGGTGGGTGCACCCCGCAGTGAGGAGGTGGGTGCACCCCACAGTGAGGAGGTGGGTGCACCCCACAGTCAGGAGGTGGGTGCACCCCACAGTGAGGAGGTGGGTGCACCCCGCAGTGAGGAGGTGGGTGCACCCCACAGTGAGGAGGTGGGTGCACCCCACAGTCAGGAGGTGGGTGCACCCCGCAGTGAGGAGGTGGGTGCACCCCACAGTCAGGAGGTGGGTGCACCCCACAGTGAGGAGGTGGGTGCACCCCGCAGTCGGGAGGTGGGTGCACCCCACAGTGAGGAGGTGGGTGCACCCCGCAGTCGGGAGGTGGGTGCACCCCACAGTGAGGAGGTGGGTGCACCCCACAGTCGGGAGGTGGGTGCACCCCACAGTGAGGAGGTGGGTGCACCCCACAGTGAGGAGGTGGGTGCACCCCACAGTCGGGAGGTGGGTGCACCCCACAGTCGGGAGGTGGGTGCACCCCACAGTGAGGAGGTGGGTGCACCCCACAGTGAGGAGGTGGGTGCACCCCGCAGTCGGGAGGTGGGTGCACCCCACAGTGAGGAGGTGGGTGCTCTGCACAGCGTCCTGCCCCTCAAACGGGGTCAGTGGCACCTGCCTCTCCCCCCGGGATCGTTCCAAGGATAAATGTGTTAAATATATTAGATATTAGTGATGGGAAGCATGGAAGTAGCATAGCCAGATAATGCTTTTTCATTTATATTGCGCTCAACGTTGCCTGCTAAAACATTTTTCAAAGATTAATACCTGGTTGCCCAAACTATTAGCCCTACTCTGGAATCATCCACCCAGAGGCAGTGGGCCAGTAAGCCATCCAATTTATGCAAAACTGGGGGGGGTTACATTTATTTTAGTGGTGAGAGTGCCCGTTGGGCGCAAGAGCTGACTTGCATTTGTGCCGCGCAGGCCGGGCAAACCGGCAAACCTCTCCAGAGCAACCGGAGCACCAGAACAACTCAAGGACAGGCTGTCCCGGGCGGAGAAGTCCTGAGGTGGGTTTGAAGAAGGGGCAAAAATGCCCCGAAAAACAGGGCTTTGGCCAGCGCGGGCGGGAGGTCGCGGTCAGGAGCTGCTCCTGCCTCGGCAGGCAGCCGTCGCATTAAAAACGGGGTTGAACGAAGCAGGATACTGGGTGTGGTAGAACACTGACACTGCAGGAATTGGGAGGGAGCCAGAGTACGTGGCAGCTGATTTCTTGGGTTTGCATATATAGATTCTACAAGGAGTTGCCGGAAACCGCTTAGAATTTTTGGATATGCCGGTTAGCTCCTAAATTGTCTCTTTTCACGTAATTTGGGGGTTTGGTACCCCCCAAAATGTCCCACCGCGACGATTGCCAGGGGATAAACGCTGACAGCGTAGGTGGATGTGGCGGGTGCTGAGGCTGCCGTAGCGGTTAGAGGGAGAACCCGCGGAGCTGCCGCCTGGCCGGTGCTGCCCAAGGAGCCTCGCCGCCGCCGCCGCGGCTCGGGACGTCTGGAGGAGGGACGGGAGGGGGCCGGGGCACTCCCACGCGGCTCCCACGGGCGCTGCAAGCGGCGAGGGGGAATTTGGAGGTCCAGGGGGAACGGCCCCGCTACCGGACATCATCACCCTCTTAAAAGGCGTGAAGGGATCCGACGCCCGCAAGCTGCCTGCAGGAAAAGGCTGGGGGATCCAAAGCACGTTTGAATGGAGGGAAAAAACCAACTACTGGGAGAACTGAAACCCCAAGGCTTCTGCGCCGTCCTCAAGGAGGCTGGGGCGGGAGGCAGGACCCACCGGCTGGCGCGGGGCCGTCTGTCCTTCCTCCCGCTGCACCGCAGGTAGTGGAAGCGGCGGTGAGCCGGCCCCGGGGGACGTAACTCACTTTAACGAACAAATACTCGGGGCCAGGCTGTGTGCTGATTTACATGCCCTGTAACGCCACATATTTCACGGGAGCCCGGGGTCTGGTCCACCCCGCTCAGCTTATTGCTCTGTGGCATCAAATACAGGGAGCAAGAAACCAGACCTTTGGCAACTCTTCTGATGAAGTTTTCCAGTAAAGCCTTTTGTTTAAGGCCAGCTCGGCGGAGAAGCTGACGCGCAGCACACAAGCCCCGGATTCCCCAGGTTTGCCCTCAAAATCCCTGCCCGGCGCCCGCTGCCCCCGCACACTCAGAGACCTCCCCCGGCGAGCGATGAGTATGGAAGAATAGCACCCAAAAAACCAGGAACGCTGTCGGAAAGCCCGAGGCAGAAGGGAAAGCCAGCTAGCGAGGGAGTTCAAAAGCACCACGAAAACTTGCTGTGAGTTGGCGACGGCGAGAAGGCGCCCGAGGTGAATTGTTCCGCTGCTCAACGGGGAGGGAAAGCTGTCGGTGGGGAGCGGGGGCTGTTACTGGCCGTGGTGGGAGGCGTTGGGAAGGGTCCTGCGGGGCTCTGTCCTTGCCCAGCTGTCATCCAATGGCCTCGCCGGCGGTGGGACGGTTTCGGAGTTATTTGACATGGGTTTTACACGAGCCATGGGAACGGGGCGAAGCAGCTCCAAGCGGAAGATGGGCAAGTCAAACTTTGCTGGGTGCCAGTGTAAGTGCCCGCCCAAAGCGGGTGTCGGGCACCCCACGGGCCCCCCAGCACCGGCGAGTTTTCATTTTAATTGCCGGGGTTCCCTTCTAATCCGGGGCGCGTGACGTCTCCCTGCAGCGGGGATCTCCGTCCCCTGTGGGAAAGCCCACCCGCAGAGATCCCAACGTTGGGAATTTCTCCGAAAACGGGCTTTTTGCTCCCTTTTGACGTGTGCAGGATTGTGGGTGATTATTTCAGCTGGATTACTGGCGAGCTGGTAAGTGTGCTTGAATGTGCAAATGCTCTCCATATTTACCCACTCAGGAGGGAAAAATATAAATCACTTACGGTGGGAGAGAGCTGTTTGGGCTCGTTAGCATGAAGGGGTTTTGATTAAAATGACGATCCGGTGCTCCGCGAAGGCACCTGCGGTGTGGAAACCCTCCCAGTGCAGGCCCGTCACTGCTGTTATTGCCGCTAAAGCAGTCTGGGAAATAAGAAGCAGCGGACACAGCTGAGCTTTACAGACTTTCAATGCACAATAAAACATTTTATTTAAAAACAACGCATTCAATATCGTGTTTTGGCACATGAGTCAATGCTGCAGGCACATTCACACCAAAGAGTCACATTGCTGAGAGATCCCGACTGAATCGGCGCGCTGCTCCGGCTCGAGGCGCGCCGTGCCGCGGAGGTCCCCGGACCCCGGCTTCGCTGGCAGCGGCTCTGCCCTCGCCCGGGGCTGTGCCCCGGCCCTTTGGGAACACCAGCCATTTCTAAATAAATAATGCTTGTAGTATGGCTGTTAAATAATGAATCCTTTATTACAATTATGGCATTTTTTTTTTCTTTTTTTTTTTTTTAATATTTATCTTTTTTTTTTTTTTATTGAAAACAACTCCATCAGGCATTGAGCTCTATAGCCATTGGAATAAAGACACATTCATTTACAGAAAACCTGCTTTTTTTCCTAAACGATCCCTTTTTGCAACCTCCGTTCACAGTTAGTTATGTTCCACAAGCGCTTGCTTTTTGGTATACTCCACAATTAAAACGGGTAGCCCAAATGACTTTGCTTTAACGTACCTTGCTGCCATTCACGGAAAAGATGCAAGCAACGAAAATACGAACCCCGGATGTATAAAAGAAGAGAAGGTAACGGACGTGTTTCCACTCCTATGTACACCCCCTCTTCACAGTAACGCGGCGACAAGTCACTATTGCCCCAGAACCATCTGGAGATCCTTTAGGGAGGCAGAAGCAGGAAGATTTGGGGTCAAAAAGGAGGGAAGGAAGAGTCTAGCCAAGGTGAGCCGCAAGGCAGGGGCCATTTACTGTCCTGAGCCGGGACCTCCCCGCCCCACCTTGCCCTCCGGGATGCACGGTGCCCCTAAGGCCAGGGCCAGAAAACCAGCCAGAAAACAGGGATTTGGGAAAGAGCCCTTCCCTCCCTGCCTGGGGGAGCAGAGCCCACCCCGGGCCCACCAGCCGCCCTCCCCGGTCTCTCTCTAAAAGCAGAATTCAAAGAGCGTCTAAGAAAAGGCGGCGAAACCAAGAGATGCACATTTCAAGGCGGTTTTCCACACTGCAAGCGCTCGGACAAAAAAATATTGATACTAAGAAGCAATTTACTTTGGGCTGTATTGCGCCATTGATTTCGGGGCAGAACTCCCCATTAAAATCAATGATTCTGAAATGTTCAATGTGGTTCTGAAAAATCGATGGGGAGTTTTGCTTAAAAATCAATGACATAATATGGCGCTCTGTCAATAATTTTTCTGTGTTCCCATTTCCGAATATTTGCAGTCGTTTTCGTGCTTCCTTCTCTGCACTCGAGGCCTCTTTGTGCCTCTGGAAAGTTCCAGCTGTGCTGCCAGGGCCGTTCCCTGGGGCTGATGGGGGGATCCCCGTCCCTCTCTGGGGGCGAGAGGGGGCTGCGGAACCCCCGACCCCCCCCGGTGGGGTCTGCAGCCTTCAGGCGCACCGGGGCCTCGCCGCCAGCGGGCTGGACCCGAGCCGGACGCTCCGTTTGCTTCAATTAAGCAAGGGCAAATGAAGGTACCGTGCATTGACACCCCCTCCATCACCATCCTCCAGCGACCTGCGCCCCGCGGCTCCGCGGGCTGGGGGGCGAGATGGGGCGGGGGGAGAACGGGGGTTCCAGCCGTGGGCAATCTTCCCACATTTGCTGTGATCAGACAAGGGAAATCAAATTTAGGAAAGGAGATTGTGAAAAAATAAAAAGCGACCCCGCAGCAATTTAGGGTTTTGGTTTCAACTTCTAATTTTTACGGATTTTATCTTCTCTCCCGGCTCCTTGAAAGCAGTGGCATATAAAGATAATAGTTTGTATTTCTTCAATCTGCTGATTAAAAATGATCGCTCCCTACACGACATGGGTAAAATGCCTCTTCATGAAACTATCGGGCATCAAGCACAAGCCAACGTCCCTCGGGGTTCGGGGGGAACCCCCCTGCCCCGCTGGGCACCCTGCAACCCCCAAAGCCATCCGCCCGCCCCCGCGCACGCGTGGCCCCTGGGCAGCTCCACAGCGACTGATATCAGAAATGGTTAATTACTGTACTTCATTAACAGCCTCTGCCTTCCCTGGGCAACTTCTCTTTTGCTGGGTTTGGGCAAAAAAACCCCCAACCCGTGTGCCCCAGCACTCAGAGGAAGGTTCCCGCGGTGGGGACCGGTGCTGCCCGCCTGCTCCCGGCCCCGCGGTCCCACAGCCCCCGGTGCCACGGGTGGGGGGACACAGTGGGGACACGGTCCTTCCCCCGGGGGGACACGGGCAGCTGGGAGGGATGGGGACACCCCATCCTTCCCCCGGGGGGACACGGGCAGCTGGGAGGGATGGGGACACCCCGTCCTCGTGTGCCCAGCACAGCCGAACGCCGCTCCTGGGCCTGGGGCTCTGGCGCGCGCCACTACGACACAAAAAAAAAAAAAAATATAAGGCATAATATCAAGAAGAACTCAAACGGCACCGAATCGGCGTAAGACACCACCACCAACCACTGCACGGCCACGTCTTCAGAATTAAGAGCTGCGAGAGGTCGGGCTCTGCTGGAGGGACGGTGAGGAGCGCGGGACAGACGCGGCGTCCCCGGGAACGCTGAGCCCGGCTCGGCCGCGGTTGTGTGCCACGGGGAGACCCGAGCCCCCCTCCCCAGCCCTCAACAGCCTTTGAAAAAGCAAAATCCGGAAAACGTGGGATTATTAAAACGGGGAAGAAAGCTGCTGGCTCCTCCGCCCGGGGCGGCGGGCGCCGGGAGGTGTTCCGGGCCGCTCAGGTTTGGTGTTGTGCTCGAGATCTTCCTCACCTCCTATGTCTGCTTGTGGGTAAAGAGGCTGAGAAAAATGAAACCGTGCCACTTTAAAGTACGATTTTAAGTTGGATTTCGCATCTTCTTCCGGTGTGTAGTCAGTTCTCAGCGTCATACAGAACAGTAGAAAAACGTTAAAATACTCGTAAGCATCCTGGTTGTAATAAGAAACCCAGTTATTTTACACACTCCTTTATCCTGAGACACGATGGCCAACATCTGCAAACAGTAAGCGACCCTCGGGTTTGTCCTCTCCACAAACAGCCCGATCTGGGTGGCTGTCGGTGACTGGAAAATGTGGCCACTGCTTTAAGCTGTCTGGCCGTGGATTTCGAGGTGTGAACGGGGAAAGCTGGTAACTGCATTTCCTCCTCCCTGGACTCCCGCGGGGCTCACCTCCCTTTAAAAAACATCTTTTTTGGAATCCCGGCGCCTGCCCAGCCGCCGTTAATTGGACTAACGAAGGCTACGAGCACTCCCTCCAGAGCCGGCTCCTCGCCCCGCAGCGCCGCGGGGTGCAGCCCACGGTGGGCCCACGCACGCAGGGAGCGCCGGGGGGGGGGTCCGTGGGTGCCAGGGATGGGTGGAAGGGGGGGGATCATCCCCCCGAAGGCCCCCCCTGTCGCTGGAGGGGGCGGGGAGCAGGCGTGGAGGGACGCGCGCCCGCGCCGGGGTTTGGGGCTCTGCTCACCCATCTCCAGAGGGACCCAACTCCCTTTATCGTGGTGGTTTAACTTTCCAAATCAAAAGACCGAAGAGCATCCCCCGGATGGGAATGGCTGCTTCAGCCTCATTCAGACTAGGATTTGGCCCACGCTGAATTAAAATGCTGAAGTATCCCGAGAGCGATAGAAACACCTAGCTAAGGTACGAGCCACATCGTGACCTCCGCCTTCACGTTATTCGTTAAAAAATGTAAAATTCAGTACATATGAAAATATGCAAGCGGTGGGAATCGGGATCCACGCTGAAGAACTTGCAAGTGGCGATGAACTGGAATTCAAGCGGCTTCCTCGAGCGGCCACGGCAATCTATGTATGCTGAGCTATGGACAGCAACATATACAAAAGAAGCAAAACCTTTTAAAATTAGCATTTCTAGTTCTAATCAGGAAGGAACAATAAAATGAAGAGATTTAGGGCATTTAGTGGAATGCTGAGAGATGAAAATACCTTAAAACACGCTTAGTGGCATATCTATAAAAGCAAAATATTTCAAATTTGCTGCTGCATGAACAGCATCCACAGAACTTGATAAATGCTTCTGCACTGCTAAATATGCTTAAACCCTTTGATGAGCAGTGACAAGCGTGACTAAAAAGCATCTTTATATTATGGAAAATATCTTAGGGTGGGTTTGGTTTTGTTTTGTTTTTTTTTTTGTTGGGTTTTTTTTTTTTTTTTTTAGAATTCTATCTGAAGAATGTTTAATTGGGTTTTGGGCACTTTTTAGACAATCTTTTGGCACTTCAAGATTTAGGTTCTTAGGCACAATGCGACAAGGTGAGTTTGGCCAGTCCTTCACCGTGCATCCTGTAGAGCAGCTGGAACTCCGCAGGCAGCTGGTGGGACTCCTGCCACTTGGTCGTGAACTTCGTTCCCTTCTTGTCGTAGTAGTGGTACGGGAGGTCCTCCCTGGTGTTGGGGTCGAACCCAAAGGGCCAGAATCCGTACAGGTGGATCTCCTCACATATGGCAGACGCGAGGGTGTACATGAGGATACCTGTGCTCAGCCGCTTGGGCGACAAGTGTTTGTTCTTCCAATATCTGTGAGAAAAAAAAAACAAAAACAAAAAAACAAACCAAAAAACAAACCCACAAAGGCACGTTAGGCTGGGGTGTGAGTAACGCCGCAGGTTTGCTGTAAGAAAAAAATAACATTACTGCCTGGAGGGCATCGGCGCTGGCAGCTGAGAGCCTGGCTAAGGCCATGACTGCTCCTCAGGTCAGTCTGGAACGACCCAGGGGAGCAAAAATACACACCTGTTAACATGCTGCATTATATTTCCTGGCCAAGCCAACTGGACCTTTAGTTGCCCTCTGTGCTCAACGAAGAAGTCAACCAGTGTTCTCGTGACCGTTGCTGAGGTGTGGAAGAAAAACGCGGGGATCCAAAGGATGGCCCCGTCAAGCTTTTTCAAACTTAAGAAGAAGTTGTTGCGATCCTGAATGGTCAAAAGGTTGTTGTAATACTTCTCCAGGATGCTGGGGTTGAAGGTCGTAAGATTGGTTTTCCTTCCAACATCTTTTTGGAAAGCCTCGGTTGGAGCAAAATTGCAGCGAAAAACAAAATCGGATTTATCTATTTCCTGCCCGCACTGACTCCCGGTCAGGATCCCGCTGTTTCCAACCACGGCGCAGATGTTGTAATGCTTGTTCAGGATCGGCGACACGTCGGGAAGCAGCGATCTGAAGTTATTGCTGATGGAGAAAACATACTTGTGGCTGGAATAATCGTAATGCATCAGCTGTCCGATCCGAACACTGTTCTTGGTCAAAGAAAAGTTTTTGATTACGTCAACATGCTGAAGGATTTCTTGCCTAAAAGAAAACAGAAAAAGAAAAGAAAACGTGGAGTTCTATCTCCCCGTTTTCTGCAGTGGGGAGATTCTCTTTCCAGCTAGACTTACATTTTTCTTTCCTCTTAACGTAGTAAAGCATTTTCCTGAGCCTCGGGGCACAATGGCTTTTAAATTAATATAAATAGCTAGGAACTACGGAGCTGGCTCCTCACCTAGAGCTCCGCTCGGCTTTACGGGGCAGTCCTGATTGATGCCAGCTAAGGATGTGTCCGTGCCTCTTGGAACCGTGTCAGGATTAAAATATTGGATTCACCCACCATCCCCGTGCTGAGGCTGCTGCGCAACAGTTCTGCCAGGGCTGGGGCAGCTGAATTAACAGGAGCTGGTTTTCACAGACAGGTATTTTTTGTGTTCTCATGAAGAAGCTTTGAATCGCCAAAACAAGAGACAGTCGCCATCTCCGTTTATGTAAATGGAATTCCTTAATGTTTTATTTGGGCAAGCACACTGGCGTTTTTACAAGGGTTATTAGGGATACTTAAAGACCAAGCAAAACCAAGCCTCCTCCGGAATTTCTCTAGCAGGGCATAAAATTAGAAAACCAATACCAGTTTATTTGCTCATGTTTATGGAAAACAAGCAACCTTCCTTCCAGCTTGCAACCTCCAATGTCTAAGCGTTAACGGAGCTCCACTGGGCTCCCTAATTATGGGTTCTGGCCAACGGAGAAGTGCAAAGGCAGACCCTGAGGCACTGGCTAAAATCATCAGAGGGGTGGCACAGACGGCCGTCAGGAGGATGAGCTGGTGGGGGCAGGAATGAAGCAACACGGGGGGCGGCCACTGTCACAGCAGCCCGGGAGCTCCCCGGGGACAGGATGGGGCAGGCGAAGAGCCCCCTCCTCTCTGCGGTCTCCTGCTCTGCTGCAGCGCGGCCGGGAGGGGGGAGAGGGGCCCAATCCTGCCCGCCAGCCCCCAGCCCGAGGCGTGAGCCCAGTCACAGGGCGGGCTCTAAACCAGCAGGCCAAACGTACAGTCCGCGATGGTAGTGGCTCTCTTAAATGGCTCAATGTTTTATTTTTTTTACATGGAAATTTTTAATATATATAATGTGTATCAAAAACGTATAAAATATATCTATTTACTGATATACCTGTATCAGTAAAGCCCATAAGAGCCTGCCCAGAGCCCACCCCGTTCACACCACAGTGCCACCAAAAGCCCATTTTACCTCCCGTTAAGCACAGAGCAGCCGAAGGGACCGAGAAACCCTTCCCGTGGCCACACCGCAGGCGAGCCAGTGCGACCCGCGCCCCGGAGGCAGAAGGCGATGCCCACGGCGGGTGTCTGGGGCAGACCCTGGCCTGACAGCCCCCTCGCTCTGCCCGCCCCCCCCCCCCAGCCGGAGCAGGGCTGGCAGGCAGAGCAGCACTGCACTTGCTCAGAACTGCCATCAGCTGGGAAGTTTGGCCGGGTGCGCGCTGGCCTCCGTCAACGCGGCATTTCACGGCCGTTACAGGCCGATCCGCTTCCAGTTTTAAACACACGCTCCCCCCCCCCCCCCCCCCCCCAGCCATTTACCTTGAAGTAATGAGAATTTCACGTGCGCACCGCAACACCGGGTCACGTTCTGCTCGCTAAAACCCTGCGTGTTGCAGCTTGGTGTCGTGCTCTGAAAGAACCAATGCTTCCGAGAGAGCTGCAACCGTCTGGGGAAATGCTCTGATTCAGCCTTTGTCTCTCTCCGCTGGCAAACTGCGCAGCGCTCAGAGGATTTAGCAGTTGCCGACTGTATCTCCTTTATTTCCTTAAATCCTGGGGGGAAGGGGACAAACCCCGGGGGGCCGAGGGGGGGGGGACGCCCCGGGGCCGCCGGCTCACCTCTGCTGCGCGAAGGCCGTCCGGTTGAAGGCCCACTTGGAGGGCTTCTCCTGCAGCTCGTGGCTCAGGGAGTTCGTGATGGGCACGAACGAGGGGTCCAGGAACTTCAGCGCGAACTGGGACCTGGAAACGAGCGCACGGGCCCACGCACACAGGGGCCCACGCACCGCCCCCCCCCCCCCCCACGCCGTTATCGGCCGCGCCCGGCCCGACCCCGCGGCGGCATCAGCACCGCGGACAGCGCCCGCCGCGCCGCCCGGCCGGGCCGGGCCGGGCCGGGCTGCACCGGGCTGTGCCGGGCTATACCAGTCTGTATAGGCTCTGCCAGGCGATACCAGTCTGTACTGGGCTGTGCCGGGCTATACCAGTCTGTATAGGCTCTGCCAGGCGACACCAGTCTGTACTGGGCTGTGCCAGGCGATACCAGTCTGTACTGGGCTGTGCCAGGCGATACCAGTCTGTACTGGGCTGTGCCAGGCTATACCAGTCTGTACTGGGCTGTACCGGGCTATACCAGTCTGTACTGGGCTGTGCCAGGCGATACCAGTCTGTACTGGGCTGTGCCGGGCTGTGCCAGGCTATACCAGTCTGTACTGGGCTGTGCCAGGCTATACCAGTCTGTACTGGGCTGTGCCAGGTTATGCCAGTCTGTACTGGGCTGTGCCGGGCTGTGCCAGGCTATACCAGTCTGTACTGGGCTGTGCCAGGCGATACCAGTCTGTACTGGGCTGTGCCAGGCTATACCAGTCTGTACTGGGCTGTGCCGGGCTGTACTGGACTGTATCGGTCTGTACTGGGCTCTGCTGGGCCAGGCCGGGCCGTACCGGGCTCTGCTGGGCCGGGCTGTACTGGAATGTACCGGGCCGGGTTCTGCCGGGCTGTACCGGGCCAGGCTGGGCTGTACTGGGATCTACCAGGACGTACCGGGCCGGGCTTTACTGGGCCGGGCCGGGTCGGGATGTACTGGGATTTACCGGGCTGCACCGGTCCGTGTCGCCCGGGCCCCTGAGGTTCCCACGCCCGGGCCGGGCCCCCCGGGGGTCCCTCCCGCTCCCCGCAGGCCCCGGGCCAACCTCCGCGGGTGCGGAGCGGGGGCCGGGAGCCGCCTCCGCGCTGCGGGCCGGGGGCTCTCCCCGGGCACAGCGCGGGTGGGAAGGGCTGGGCTGGGCTGGGATGCGATGGGGTGGGATGGGCACCACCCCCCCACCCCCCCCACCCCCCCCCCCAGCCGCGCCGCGCCCTCACCTGAATCCCGCGTGGAACATGTACATGCGGGGCCCCCCCGGGCCGGCGGCGCGGGGCGCGCCGAAGATGTTGTCCTTCTTGAGGGAGACGTAGCTGATGAGGGAGAGGATGAGCAGCGCGATGCTCAGCATCACCAGCCCCAGCACGCTGGCCACCCGCACCATCTTGCAGCTCCTCATGCCGGGAGGCGGCCCCGCGGCTTGGGCGTGTGCGGGGGGGGGCACATGGGGCGGGGGGGGGGGGGGTGGGGGGGTGCGCGGCGGGAGCGGGACGGCGCCGGGGCCGGGGCCGGTATCACCGGCAGCCGGAGAGAAAATGGAGGGAGCGAGCGGCGGCGCGATGAAATGGCAGCCGGGAGCGGCCCCCCCCGCCGGCCCGGCCCCGCCACCCCGGCAGCGCCGCCGGCCCCCCCCGCTCCAGGCCCCGCCGGGGCCCCCGGTGTCCCCAGGGTCCCCCCTGGCAGACCCGCTGCCAACCCAGCAGACCTGGTGCCGCACCCCCCCCCTCACCCCCCGACAGCCCCAGTGCCGACACACCAGCCCTGGTGCCCCCCAACAGCCCCGGTGCCCCCTGACACTCCCAGTGCCCCCCGACACCCCCAGTGCCCCCCCCCCCCCCGACAGCCCCAGTGCCCCCCGACAGCCCCAGTGCCGACACACCAGCCCTGGTGCCCCCCAACAGCCCCGGTGCCCCCTGACACCCCTAGTGTCCCCCCCCCCCCAACAGCCCCAGTGCCCCCTGGCATCCCCAGTGCCAACCCAGCAGCCCTGGTGCCCCCCAACAGCCCCGGTGCCCCCTGACACCCCCAGTGTCCCCCCCCCCAACAGCCCCAGTGCCCCCTGGCATCCCCAGTGCCAACCCATCAGCCCTGGTGCCCCCCAACAGCCCCGGTGCCCCCTGACACCCCCAGTGTGTCCCCCCCAACAGCCCCAGTGCCCCCTGGCATCCCCAGTGCCAACCCAGCAGCCCTGGTGCCCCCACTCTCAAGAGCCCCAGTGCCCCCCAACAACCCCAGTGCCCCCACACAGCTCCAGTGCCCCCTGACAGCCCCAGTGCATGCCGCCCCCCCCCCCCCCCCAGCATCCCCAGTATCCCCCCCGACACCCCCAGTGCCCCCCAACAGCCCCGGTGCCCCCTGACACCCCCAGCGTCCCCCCACAGCAGCCCCGGTGCCCCCCCGACAGCCCCAGTGTGCCCCCCAGCCCCAGGTCTCCTGCTCCAGCCCTGGGGTGTCCTCCCCAGCATACGACCAAGCGTGCCCACCCCAACACCCCCGGGGTGCCCCTGCCCTCCCCAGGGTGCCCAGAGCGCCCTTCTCGCTGCCTTGGGGTGCCTGGCAGTGACCCCCCCCCCCAAAAGACTGGAGGTGGCCCAGGCTGGCAGCCACAGCGACACCCCCCCCAGCTGCCCCAACTGCCGCAGTGGCCCCCCCGAGCCCCGAGGGTGCTTTTGGGGGGGCTGAGCGTGGCTGCAAGCCGCGGGGACCTGGTGCCTTTGCTGGGGGAGCAGCGGGCGGGTGGGCGCACGGTGTCCCCCCGCACCCCAATCTCCCCGGGACGCCCTATGGCACGCACAGCCCTCGCCCCTGGGCACCTCAGAAGGATCCCCGGTCTTTAAAATCCCGGCGTTTAGGGCACGGCACCACATCAAAAAACCCTACCGGTAATTAAACTGCCCCATAAATCACACAGCAAATTTCATGTGAACTCCACGAGAGCCTGACTTGTGTAATCTGAGGAATGTCTCTTACGAGGATGACTCCTGCGTGCTGCAGTACATTCAGGGTTTCTTCAAGCTATGGGTGTTTTTTTTGGTTTTTTTTTTTTTTTTTTTCCCCTTATAAAGCTCGCCCCCACAGACAGCTCTGCCTCTGAGCCCTGAGTTCATAGAAGTGCCTTATAAATAATAAATACTGTCTTTGTAGCACCATCCTTGCTCTGGGCTACATCCTACAAGCTCTCCACGCATGAAGCTCTCTTTGAAGAGGAGGAACATGAGGAGCTTGCAGGGCTGGGTCTTACGTCACAGCGTGGTTCTTCAGCCTTCAGTGGGAGTTCGGCCCGAGTAGGGCCTGGAGGTCTATATCCCCGTCCTGCGGCTTTGGTGGAGAGAGAAGAGGATGGGAACGTCGGAAATAACACTGCTTTGATACAGGAGATAGGTTTTTTCTGTGACTTTTCACAGGGTGTCTGTCATCGTCCTCCCAGCGCATGGCGTGCCCAGCCTCAGCCTGTCCACCCAGGCGGCCCAGGGTAAAACCATCCCCAACTTTTTGCCTTTGGATATTTTGGAAATCAGTTCTGTCATGCTTAACGTTGTCCTGTGTAGTTTCTGCCCACGTGTACAAACCCCAGGGGAAGGCGGCACAGCCCTCATGCCAGACACGGTTCCGCCTCGCCGGCAGAAGAACTCCCCGCCGCGGGGTTTTGTACAAAACTCCCACCCGCCTCCGCCAAAACCAGTGAGAGAGAGCAGAGTATTTCTTGCTGCTGCACAAGCGGGGCTTTCCCCCCCGCCTCCCCGGCTGCAGCCAGCCCGGTGGGTTTTGGACCCATTTTCCCTCCCGTTCCTGCCCCAACCCTGCCCGATTGCGATCCGAGAGGACGTTGGAAAGGCGCTTCGGGCAGAAATGTTTAAAAACCCTGCCGTGTGCCGCAGCCGCTCTCCTTTTGACCCCGTGGTGAGCCCCGGCCCCAGCAGCGGCGTCCCCGGAGCCTGCGCACGCCAACAAGTTGCAGTGGAAACAAAGGCAGTTCTTGCTTCAGATTCTTCAGAGATAGCAATATGTCAGGAGCCCCCGGAGAGGCTGAAAGTAAATGAATCAGTGCTAGAAAGTGAAGGATATCATCCGCGCTGAATGGTGAAAAGGAGTCCTGAGCAGTAGCTTCATTGATTTTCCTATAATTGACACAGAAGCTGGGCTGGCCGGAGGCTGCGGGCGAGGGGGAGAAGGGGAGGCCCAGGTACCCAGCACCCAGCCCGGGGTCCTGGGAGCCTTCCTCCTCGGTGAGGTGCCCTGGGTGCTGTGCGAAGCTTTGAAGGAGGCGCTGGCTGGCGAGCCCCTGTTTTCGCTCCTCGCGGGGCGCTTCGCAAGCTGCGCTGAAGACAAGGCGGGGGACGGCGCTCGGCTGGCGCCGGCGCAGGGGAATTCGGCAAGGAGGTGTCAGCGCCGGCCCCAGGCCACTCGCAGGAAGGGGTGTAAGGCGCTCTTTGCGTGCTTGGCCCCCACCAGGAGGTGCTGGGTTTCCCTGCAGCCGCCGCGTGCCTGGGGCGTCAAAGTCACGCCAGAAATCACGCCAAAAAAATAGCCGTGAGTGCCCTCCCTGTGCCCACACCCCCCCCAACACTCCCCCCCAGGCTTTTTACTGATGCTAGAAAAGGCTGAAGAAGGGAAGGAATGTGTTTGAGACAGAGACAAGGATTCAACCAGCCAGAGCAGGGGAGAGATGGCATTTCAGCGGAGGAGAAGCGCAGCTACACCGCATAAAAGAAACCAGGAGCGTTGATTCGCTTTCAACCCAACGGAGGAAACACCCGTCGGGTTGGCCGTGCGCTTAGGGAAGGTTCCTGCTTTTTGACTTATTCATGGAAATGGGACGTGGTCTTTTTAACTCTACAGGAAAGTTGTGCTTTGAAGATCGGCTCCCACTGAAATCAACCTTTTCCAGGCTATCTTTGCAGTTTCCCTCCGTCCTTTGAAGCTGGTGCTTAGGGTCTCCGAGCATAAGGGGGTCTCGATCTGACTGACTGCACCCTAAATAATTTCAAAGTCTCTTTAAGTCTCAGGTGCTCGTCAGCCTGCCGGTGTGTGAAGAGCTATGAATTTATTACCAGAAGCACCCTCCCTCCTCAGCCGCGTCGAGCAGCCAAGGCTGCTGGTTTGCAGCGTCTCCGCTCGCACGGAGAACGCCTTCCCCGGGGACGGCGGCGAGGAGCGAGGCACCTGCGGCTCCCGGCACGCTGCCGGGCTAGCCAGCCACCCTCTCCCCAAGCCCTACAGCCCTTGCAGCAGCTCCACCCCGGCTGAAAAGGGAGCGGCACGGGCGACAGCACCGCGGCGGGGTGCTTGGGGCGCAGGCGGGACCCAAGTGGGACCCAGGCGGGACCCAAGTGGGACCCAGGTGGGACCCGGCCACCTCCGCCCCGAGCCCCTGCGGTTTCCCTGAGTCACTCCCCCGACCGAAGGCCCCGAGGTTTCTGCTGATGCTGCGCCGGGGTAGCTAAATGCTTTGTTGAACGCCTGCCCGGGTGCGCCTAAGTGCTTTCAGCCTGGGTGGCTGCTGATTTGGGTTTCCTGGGACAATTATTTTGAACATAAGTACCCAAAGTCTGCCCGAGTCCTTTTCTAAGTGCTTAAGTTATTTTGTTTTAAAAATCTGGCACTGCATCCTTCTACCTGCGGTCAGACCAGTCCCAGATACGTAATTATTTTAATTATATTTGCAAAAATGCTTGCTGGACATAAAGGGCATGCCTCTCTCTCTGACTTTACTACGTACAGTATTTTCTTTCAGCCACTGAGCCCTCACTTTCCTGGCAGTCCTGGGAGCCCACTGCCATTCCCCCCGAGCCCTCGCATCCCACCAGGAACGTGCAGGAATTCGGCCCCGAGCCTCGGCGGGAAAAAATGTCAAAACCCTGGAATAATCCCGGGGTGCCAGCGAGGAGGGAGCGGTGTGGGCGCAGTCACCTCCTCCCCGCGCCGCTGTTAGAAATGCAGGACAAGGGTTAGTTAAGCCGGGCTTTGCAAGCCTGGCAGGTGAAAGTTAGGCAGAAGGGATGGCCCTGCAAGCGGGGAAGCTCCTGCACACAAAGGCTGCTGGTGTCCACACTGGCGTGCTGGGCTCCATCTCTGCGTCCCCCACCTCCAGCTTTGAAACCTGGCACGTCACCGGTGGGCACCTCGGCGCCTGGTGACTCAGGGACCACGGAGACAACTGCCCGGGCCCGGGGAAAGCACCAGCTCCCAGCTGGTTAATCACATTTCACCTCGTTAAACCACCAGGAATTTGCGAAAGGCTTCGGGATTTAAGCTGGTCGTCCCTTTAGCGGTTTCCTAGGTTTTCAAAAGGTCCCACCGGCTGGTTTGTGGCACTGCAGTAGAGGTTTCCCATGGCAATGGCTGCACGTCCCTCCCAAAGCCAAGGGAGAGACCCTGTGGGCTGGCTGCAGGGCTGCACGGTGTCGCAGGGCTGCACGGTGCTGCAGGGTTGCACGGTGTCACAGGGCTGCACGGTGTCACAGGGACGCACGGTGTCACAGGGATGCACGGTGTCGCAGGGATGCACAGTGTCGCAGGGCTGCACGGTGTCACAGGGCTGCACGGTGTCACAGGGACGCACGGT